GTGAGCACTTAAGGGAAACCCAGACCTTTTATATCTGCCACTTATTTCCTGATTATCTTCCTGGAGGTCAGGCCCTTCATTTTGACACTTAATGAATAAAATGCCCACGTTGCAGGAAATGGGATAATGAATTGTGAAAAGACATAATCAGCAATGACTAAATAATTAAGGGAATTGAAATGTAGAGTCATGTGGGAATGTATTAATAATAACATGATTTTTCCATATGCTAAAAAATTCTGTCTGTTTTTAGAAAATCAGTCATCACACATGCTCTGTGGCAAAAAAAAAATTAATGTAGACTAATAGGAACTGTAATTAGATGTTCTGCTTTTAAACAGCTGAATAAAAGATGAAATCATATAGAAAGTATATTTAGATACAAGCCAGAAAGTAAACTGATTATTATTCATAGTGCTGTTAATAGGAGCTGTAATTTATGCATCTAGTGGGAATCATGTTAGGCAATTAGGAAAGGGAGTCACACTTGACTTCCCTTTATGCATATACATATTTATATATTTTTCTATATCTTGACAATGTCTCCATCTTTCCAGTTACCTTTAATCCACATAACTGCCTAGAATAATACCTTTTACAGTGAAATTCTCTGTTGGAGTTCAAAAGTTGGCCTTCACTTAGATTAAAGAAAACCGCACAAGCTTCTCTTTGATCGTATTTGTCTCCTGACATTGGACTTTTGCAGGTCCCCATTACTACATGAAGAATGGGACTTTTTAATTTTTCTCAGCACTTCACCTTCAAAGGCTCGCAGCAGAAATTACCATGGCAGTTGGATGAGATTGTGCCTGCTTCTGCTTCCCTCTGTCCATGTTACCCTCTCCCTACTTACCCAGGACTCGGGTTCAATTGCTTAGTCTCTGTCGTTTGCTCCTAACAAAACCTGGGATCCTATAATTCACCACACTCCCAGCACTGAAATCCCAATGATCTGGATTTTGGTTCTGGTTGGTGTTGCTGTGTTTGTGGAATATATGATCCTTCATATATATTTAATATTTTCAGCATTTCAGTGCAAGAATGCTTTATTCTTATCTTGTGCAACAACATGGTTATTGTTTTCATCCCAAAGTGTCCTAGTATCTAATCACGTGTTAATGCAGACTTTCAGCCATCCCATAAAATGTGGGTCAGCCAGAGAGGGTCACATTGCCAGATATGTTTGAACAGATGGGTGGGCTGAGGTACAGAGAGCTGTTGTGGTTTGCTCAAGGTAAAAAAGCAAGTCAGTGTCAGAGCAAACATTAAAATTCAAGGCATGAGATCAGTGAAGGATTAAGTGCTGTGTTCATCTGCTTCATTTCCAGACATATATAACATGTACCTCTGATAAATGCAGGTATCACAGTTCAGAAATATTCCGCACATAAGTCTCAAAAAGGAAAGTCAGGGAAGGGACCTCCAGGGAGGGGTGGACCAGTGGGTGGGAGGGGGACTTCTCCCACAGAAGCCACACTGCTAGGGGGTTGCAGGGCTGTTCCACAGCTAACCTGCCACCATGAGTACGCAGGCACAGTGCAAGGTGATAACCTGAGCCAGGTGCCCGCTCCCAGCAGACAAGCAGAGTCTTTTTTTTTCCTGTCTGTGTAATGCTGACTTGCACAAAACCGCCCCATAAGCTAGACCCCGGTTACTCCCTCCCACGTCTGGGATGACTTCCCAAGGAGCCTTGTAACACGTAGTAATCCTAAATTTTGGGTTAGTCTGGTCCAGCTTCACTTGCCGTGTTCTTCTGCTAAGGCTGATCTCACCACTTCGCTGGGTGCGATGCCACAGAGGGAAAGTGCCGGAGCCTCCCCAGGGCGTGGGACACTCTACCCCCACTCACTCTGTCTGCCTGCAAGCCCTCCTAGAGACGAGGACCTTATGTCTTGGCACAGCCTTCTGGCTGCGGGGCTTGCATTTTGGCTGTGGACCATCTTTCATAATTGGGCTGGCGAGTGCTGCCTCTGCTCCCGCTCAGGGCCGGGGCTGCCAGTGCCAGCTGTTCTCCCCACCACCTGGGCTGCAGATGGCCCCACCGACACCCAGCAGCTCGTCCGCCGCAGTCCTCTCCTTCCCCCTGTCCTGCCGAACTGCCTTGATGGTGCTACTTTTGGCAGACATTACTCAGTAACGGCCAGCTCTTTGGCACACCCTCCTCGCCTTTCCCACCTCAGAGCTGGGAAGCAGGAGCAACTCCATGAGCAATATTGTGTTAAGCTACAAGCCACAGGATAAAAAAAGTGGTTAAAAGCAGTAAATGCATTCCCATGCATTCCAATAGTGCTATATTTTATCAGCAGGCAGAGGGTGATTTTAATTCGACCCCTATAAGCATCCATGGTGCCTCTCCCTCCCCGGCCATCCCAGGCGTTGCACGAGTCTGGCTCTTTGCATTTGTTCTCCGTCAAAGTGTGATATCTTGGGATGGATTCTGCAGGCTTAAAATAGAAACATTCCTGCTTGCTGCTGCTGATGTATCATTGAGTAATCATTAAATAAATTCAGTGTTTTACTGCATTAACAAAAACACATGATTGTTTAACAGACTATATTACAGAAGATGGAGGCTTTAATGGTCTCTATGGATTTTTAGTTTGTAAGAGTACATTATGAAGCTGTCTTGGTAGGGTGCTGTTTTCATATGTGAAAGAAGTTACTGGCGTTATACATCATTTTTATATCTTGTTGCTAGGCAACATATCATAGTGCAGTTATTGCAAAGGTGCTTGCTTCCTCGTTAAAAATCTTCATGTTGCTCCTTAATTCTGTAAAATTAGCTCTGTTATTGATCTTATCCCGTTTCCTTGGCTATCTATTGATTGAGGTTTCATCTGTTAGGTTTTGGAGAAATAGAACAGGTTTTTCATTAACTGAATTTGGGGTTGAAGCCTAAAGCATGTGCATTAGTGCTAATCTTTATTTTCCCCCTTCATCGTAATTTGTTTTCATGCAGGGAGCCGTGCATTTCCATTCACTTGGGATTCAAAATCAGAGAAGTAATTTGAGTGGTGGTGTATTTAAGATACGGCCTATGACAGCTAGGCTTAAAAAAACAGCAACAATAAAAAGCAGGGGCTACCTAGGGTGCTCTAGGAAAGATCTAAAAATTCCCTTGAAAACTCATTTCTTCCTCTCTTCAGAATAATCTGCGGTTCCTGCTTCAGCATAGTGCTGTTGTGAACTCCTGCTATATTAGCATTTCCAAATCTGGGGGCAGTTTTGCCTCAGCTTGGGTCAGTCTGTGCAAGATTTGGGGCTTTACAGGACCGAGCCGACTTCATCACCTCACTTTATTCTTGCCTGAAGAAGGCAAATCTATTTCAGAAAAACACAGTTGGTAATAACAAGCAGTATCGCTCGCAAGTATCTTCCGCACAACAAAATAATATTTTTTTTTTCCTGAGTGCCAACGTTTATTCCCTTCATTACCACTCCTCCCCAGCTTCCTCAAGTTGGAGAGCTGTCTGCCAGGGCCATATGTGCTCCCCAGAGGCAGAGGTGCCTCTGGCACGTGTCCCCCCAGATGCCTCTGCAGGCTCATATGGAGCCAGGGCACGTGGAGGGGCTGCCAGCACCAGGCAAGGGGGGAGCCAGGGGCTTCCACAGGCCTCTGAGTGCCACAAATGTTTCTTTATTATCCTCATCCCTCATATTGTTGTTACTGACATATTGTAATTACTTTCATTAACCAGACTTAATGCAGTGGCGTTCAGTATAGCTACTGTTCATTTTGGGGCAAATGGTACTATTATAATATCAGGTTTTAATTAAGCTGGTTTGGATGAAAGCTGGCATACTAAAAGCCCTTAAAAGTACTGTTCCTTGGTACACACCCACATAACAACAACCAGTAAATCAATGGGATTTTGTCTAACCTCTTCCTTGCAAGATATCATTTGGCATGTGGAATCAGAGCAGTTATTTCTAAAGGCATGTGCTTCAGAGAAGGGGAGGAGTGAAAGAAACATGAAAGAAGTTCATTCTCTTATTTTTTAAGCTGTAGAAGAGTTAAAAATAGATATGAGGCTTTGTTATGGTCTAAAGCCTATTTTTTAAAGGAAAAATGTGCAAATAATGAATTTATAATGGGACTAATTAGTTCTGTGAAATTTTAATAGATGAACTTGTGAATTAAAGAGATTGCAAAGGCCAAAAAGTTTAACTTCACGATCAATCAATGTACTTTCCTAAAAAATGTCTGCAAATAATTTTGACAACATTTGAAAACTGATAGTTACCTGTTCACTCTTGAACAACTGCTTACACACAGATTTCACCCCTGGAACACACTGGGCTATTCCTGAATGACCATGTGGCTGTGTTTGCACCCTACCTGCTTCCCTGTAACTAGCAAGGGAATGGATAGGGTGTCCTCACACTGCTCTTTGATTGATTCTAACCACACAGTTTGCCTTTTAATATTTAGGGCCCTGGGTCATACAACAGCTTTAGTTCTGTTCCTCCAACATAATTAGTAAAAACATTAGTGCTGTTTCCCCACTAACAACTCCTCGGCTCCACACCACTGGCTGACCCCTTTAATAGCGAGTGATGAATGTCCAACATGACCAGCTTGGTCTAATTTCTTTCCCTCCCTATCTCTGATCTCTCTGAGGAGACACTTAAAATGGATACAACTCACTGTAGTCCAAAAAGTGTTGCCAGTGTCCAGAGGAGCATTCCTTCAATTTCAAAGGAGAAAGGAGTTTGAGGAATCAGCCTCTTTTAGTATCTGTTTATCCATAACATCATATTTTGCTTGAGCAGTTTTGCCAGCTGATCTCTTGTTAGCTCCTTTGGTCTGTACAGAAACCCCTGCAAAGGTGATTGCATCCCCTCATAGCCAATGAACCCAGTTATCAGTCAGAATCAGCTTAATGGGGTGATTGTTTCATTCATGGGAAATTTCTGCCATAGATATCTGAGTTGGTTCAATTAATCACCTGTTGTTTCTCCATGCAAAGACAGAGAATTCTTTCTTAATCCACATTCAGATTAAAGAATTAACCGAGACAGTGCCACGGGACAAGAAGAGCACACCTGTGAGCACCGAAAAAGCTGTTACTTCTCACCCAACAACTCCAGAACAAAATGGAAGATACCCCAGAACAAAACAGAAGGTGAGCTTCTAACTCACATGCCACATTATGTCCCATACCTACATTTTACATTATTTCACTGGTTTATAAAAAATTCAGCGCTGGTTTCTAAACAGACTATAGACCAATTGGCTCTCATTGCTTTAGAAGGGCTGTCCTTGCTGGTCAGCAGGCCAGATGTGCAGCAGGATTTCCCATTGGCCTCCTCTCCCAGCTACCACGGTATCTTTCCTGATGCTCATCTGCAGGATGGGGTCAGCTCAGGAGGTGCAGTGAAGGCCTCCCTCTGAAACCCACCAGCAGGCATGAAACTGCAAACCTCTCATCCCCACTCCAGGGCTGTTCAAGTGCTGACAGGCAACCTTAGCCCTGTGCCATTACAGCCACAAAACACTTTATCTGGGGCCTGGGGAACGAGCAATTTCTTACTTATTGTCAATGAGACACGTCATTCAAGATAATGCATATTACTGGCTGCCACCAACTGCCATGGTCTGTAAAATGTCCTACCCCATCAACTCAGCTCTTCATGTCTCTACAGGAATTTGTGAATGAAAAAAGTCTCTGTGACCAGGAAGAGCCTTGTTAACAAATTCTATTTGCTATGCACTTCATTAAAAAAAAAAAAAAAAAAAAAAAAAAAAAAAAAAGAGTGTTTTACTCCAATAAATTCTCTGATTCCCCACTGACTCTCTGGATGCCCATAACTCTTAGAAAACTCAAGCAGGCAGGATCAGGATAATTTTGTTTCCCCAACATGATGAATCTGCCAGTCCTGTCTGTTGCCTTTATGTGAATCTTAGTCTCCCAGAAAGAGAGCCAAGTTTGACACCTGGTGCCAGCCAGCACCTGATAGTCTGAGGTTTTTTGGCCAACACTCTTCAAAACATCTTAGTGTCAAGTGCAGAAACCTCTGCAAAGCTGAATGTAGGAAGAGTATGGACTGGATTGCTTCCCAGCAGCTCTCTGATCAGCTCAGTCAGAATGCATCTGTCAGCTTTGTTGTTGGAACCCAACTGCACGGTTTCACCAGCTCATGTCACGATATTTTTGGTCTTACCACTTTCATTTCAGTTTGAGTTGCCAGGGGAAAAAAAAAAAAAATAATGGGAATGATAAGCCAATCTTCAGCTTCAACCATGGGATGCTTTTGCTGGCATCCATTCTCCTGTATCGTTAAGCGTGGCATTTCTTGGCCCTTGCTGGTCTTGCCCCCTACTTATCATCTCTTGGTTAGGATACAGAGCGAGATGATGCCTTTGATCAGCCCACTTGTTAAATGTGCTGTGAAACTTCTAGGGAGAAAAAATGAAAATAGCAAATATGCCTAGTAGCAGCTGGGCTGCCAAAATACTGTTACATGATCTTAGTGAGAGTAAGACTATTTTGCTAGTCAAAATTAAGTTATCATTTCCTTATATTGCTTCCGTTTTCTGCATCTGTCTTGCCTTTCATCTCATGTATTTGGACTACCAGTGCTTTGGAGCAGGAAATGCTCTTTCAGTGTCTGTGTGGGGTGCTATACTGAGCGGGTCCAGACTGGGACTCTAGACCATAAGTAGGCATTTACACCTCCCATTCACAATTATCATATAGTTTCACATCTGAAAGTGAGATTATTTGCAGAGACCTTGTGTTCCTAGCTGGGACGAACTCTTCATCTTGGCATTTCAACAGGGCTTGGAAAAGCCTGGAATGATCATTTCCTAGAGAATGGTAGAGAGATCCAGGACCTGTTGGCTTGCCCACCTCCTGCTTCATCCTTTGAAGGACAAAGTTCAGCCTCATCTGAAATTATTTCCTAAATTCAGAATATTCTGAGAAGTCCCAAATCCTAGGTCCCTTTCCCAAAAATTATATAGCTGCAGCTTCACTTCTCATGAGGCATTCCTCCTCACAGGGGTCTCCCCACTTTACCAGGCCATTCCAGCTTCAGGATGAAGTTCCTCACAGGCTCTTACTATGTATTCTGAAGGTACAGAAGGGAATCTTTAAAACCTGTATATCTGGAGAAAAAAAAAAAAAAAAAATCACTTCACCACCCTATAGTATTCATTCTTCTGAGAGCTTTCAGGAAAGACCAGACACAGTGTAAGTTCAACACTGGAAATGTTTTGTTTAGGTCATGTCCCAACCTGCATATAGTTTTAGACTTCTGCAGATCTCACATCAATCTCCAATTCTATCAGTTTAGCCTTCTACTTGTTTTCTGCCCAAAAATCTCAGTTCACTCACAACAAAGATAGTGAGATGCCATTTAATGTGTGTAAGATTGGCACATTCAGGTGATCCCCCCCAAATTGCTCAGTTGTCCAGTCTGAAAAGGTTAGAAACCAATTTATTCCTATGCAAACTCGTCCAGGTGAATTTTGTACTATATTCCTATTTCCCATGGGTTACTAAAGAGTATTCCCCAGACAGAGCCTGTTCTCTTCTGTTTGCTAAGGTACTCAGACCCCCTTCCTAATGCTTTGTTTACTCATTTACTTCTCCAAGTCCTCGATTCCAGTTGGTAAATCAGAGGCTAGTGCTGATAAAGTTATCCCCCATTGTTCTTTTCGTAAGATTTCTCCTCCCACATCTGGATTTAAAATGCAGCTTGTTCATTACCAAGAATGGGGTCTCTGTGGACCATCACTTGGAGGAGAGAAGCAGCTTCCTTGGCACTAACTGTGGTTTTTCACAAAGAGTTTTCAATACAGCTTCCATGACCCACCTCCGCTTCTGCTGACTTGGAGCCCAGTGCTCTGGCATACCTCCCTGGTGAGGTACCAAGTGGTAAATGGCCTCACCAAGACAATCTTACTGCTGGTGCTCCTGAAAGATTCTGCATGGGGATGGTGCACCTGGGGCCACCTCAGGTGTTGCCACTGCAGAGGAAAACAGTGTCTCCTGCACCAGAAACTTGCCCCTGGAGCAAAATCTGTGTGGACAGCCCCCTCTTCAAGAACCACAGTTAGTGTCGGGTAAGTTACCTTGTTTCCCCCCTCATTCTGTAATTAGACATCCCAATTATGTAGTTTAATCTAATTAAAGTAATGATGCAATTATACAATAATTGATACATAATCGGCACGCAAAAACCTGTGTAAGTATTATTTAACCAACAGAGCAAATTCTAGATGAAACTTTTCAGTCTTTTCAAAGTATATAATTTTATCAGCCAGCTTGAGGAAGGGATTTTTCCTACTCAAGCATTTTTAAATCCTTAATGCCACTAGTAAAATGCCTTTTTTTCTCCTATTTATGGTCATTCAGCTTCCATTGACTTCAACAGGAGCTGTCTCTGAGCACCCATAGACAGAAGTAAAGCTTATAGCCTCTGAAAGACTCACCACAAGGATCTCATTCAAAGATGACACAGTGCTACAAACACATTTCAGGTTTGCCTGCTATTAGAGATTATAAAAAAAAAAAGAGTAAATCTCTTGGTCGACTGCAAGAGAAGACAGCTCTGTGGTACCTGCACTGGTACTTTCTCAGCAAACCTTACCACTTATGATCCTTTTTAAAAAAAATAATTAAAAATTACTTCCTTATTATCCAAAATAACTGTGGAAAAAATATGCATATTACATATGCACCACACTTACAGATGTATAAACTAAGTCTTAGCTATGGATCCACCCAAGGTCTCACGTACCAAAATCATGAGAATATGCAGGCGGATGCAGGAGTTCTGGCTCTGATGGGACAAACATGAATGTAGTTTTCTGTATTGGCTCGTTTTTCTGAAATATATAAACTGTGAAGCGTATGTTTCATCGTATGAGGATGTTAGCTGTATCTGTAACTGCCAAGGACTCATGTTCTGAAATGACATCAGAGACCTGGGGACTTCTCTGATAAGAAATGGGATTTCTTCTCATCCTTGGATAATATTTCCTTTAACCTACTCCCCATCCCCTTAGTGTTGTGCAGTGAACTGTGTACCCTATATGGCTTTTTCCCACCAGTGATGTGTCTGAACATCAGTGATATTTCACCCTTGTTTTGGAAAGCACTGTGTAATCAAACATATCCACATTTATAAAACACTTTATAATTAATCCAGCGTGTCTGGATATGTGAGGAAATGAGAATGGCTTGTCCCTTTCTCTGTTCCTGTTGCATAACTCATGCTTTAAACTAGGTGCATTATCTTGTGAGATGTTATATAGCGAGTTTGTTCAAAATGCCCCAGTAGCTGCGTCAGTAGAATTATTCACAAGCAGGGAAATTTCAGAGGAAAATGTGAATGTTCCCTGATAAGCAGTCACTTGGGTTTTTTTGTTGTTGTTTTTTTTGCATGGTTTGCTGCTAAGGAACTAGTTTTAAGTGTTATTACCCATGTGTGTGGAAGTATAATTTTGATTTGATCCATATTCTCTTTAATGCCAAAATCGCTGAAAAAAAACTTTTAGATTTGGTTTCAAATTCAAATACGATGTTTTTACTGTTATCTTTTAATTATCAGTATTCATATTGCCAGTATAAGTGTTTGTATAATCTTTTTCATGATAGACACTGAAAAATGTAAAAAAAAAATCCTGTGACTGAACAGGTGCTCATTCATGGTGATATAAATTCAGTTCTACATATGGAAGTCACTGAGTGCTTGCACATATGGCCCACAGTTTCCAAGCTTAAGAAGAACTCACAGGTGCTTAGGTGATCCTCTAATCATTGTAAGGGTCATGTAGGGAGCATCTTTGTCTTCCATTTTTGTTCCACCCACTTGGTGGTTTCAAACTGAATGTAAGGGGACAGACTCAGCTGGGCAGTGGATGAAGAAAGTTTCTGGTGTCACACTGAGCCCTAGTTCCTTCAACCAAAAGGGTGCAATTGCTTTAGAGAAGGAAAAAAAAGCAATTCACATGCCTTTCTTGGGTGAAATTCTCTTGTTGATGAGCTACAGAATATTGGTAGGTCCATTCAGTAACAGACATCTGGAAACGGAAAGAAATCAAGATAAATGCAGCTAAAAGCTATGGGAAAATTCAGCAGGTACACTACTGCACAAAAAAGTCCAAAACCACAAC